GGACAGCTGCCCTGTGGTGGACAGGTCAGGAGTGTCTGCGCTAAGAGGGGACATTGAGCAGAGATCTGAGCAAATGAGGGTCGTGTGTTCCCCGTGGAGGGGTCAGCATGTTCAAAGCCACTGTGATGAGAGTGTCCTGGGCATGCTCGGGGGACAGCAAAGGGCCCGCATGATGGGCCCACGTAAGGAGTAGTCAGTGTGTCTTGGCGTGGACACTGGGTCTCCCTCTGAAGGGGCTGGAAGGACATTGCAGGGTTCAAACAAGGATGCAAGAATCTAGCGTCTGCTTCAAAGGATTGGGACTTAGCTGCTGTGCATGGGCTAAAAGGGGCAGCTAACAGGGAGACTGGGAAACACCTGGGCTGTGTTAGGCAGCCACTGCCAATGTCTGGGATGAGTGTGTCAGCACAGGAGGCGGCTGAGGCCGAACTGGGCAACCCTGGAAAGCTCTTGTAAAAGCCAGCACTATGCACTTCTCAGACAGACCTCAGATCATCATCTGCCCAGCATGAGACCACCCAGGACATGTCTGTCTTGCCTCTGCAGGCAGCGGACAGAAAGCAGTCCCCAAGACAGCAATCCGAGCCTGAGGTCTGACTGCTGAGCAGACCCCACGTGCCGAGGCAAAGCAGGAGGGGCTGGCAGTCCCACGTGCGTGCCTTCTGGACAAGGTCTTCCTGATGGGCCAAGGATGGGGCCAACCAGTGATGGGGATTTCCGTTAGATGTGAAATTCCTACCTTGATGGCTCTTCTATCTGGAAGCTTCTGTGCAGCCTGCATCTGTTTCTCTGGCTCTCTTTGATTCATTAGCAACAAGCAAGTGAGCCAGCAGACTGCGTGGAGGAGGAAAGTGTTGGCTGGGTCAGTGAATTAGAGGGCCCAGGATGATTGGCTAACGTGTAGGATTTCCAGGACCTGTGTTTTTGTCATGTCCTTCCCACCTGGAGGGTAAGGGCTGCCCAGTAGCCTGGGGGTGCCTCTCCTCTACCTTGGGCCTCCTCTGATTCCACCAGGGAAAGCTACAGGCAGACAGGGCAGCCCCTCCATTCCTATGAGGGCAGGCTGAGGGGTGCCAGAGCAGCAGTAGGGGGCTCAGATTAGGGGCACCCATGCTGAGTCACATCAGGCCAGCCGATCCCCAGCACAGCTCAGCCCTGGCCTTGGAGGCAGCAGCTCCCAGTCCCAGAGCAAGTCTTCCTGCCTCCTTCCTCCCTGCACAGCCCCCAGAACCTTCACATGGTATCTTTGAAGCCTGGCCTCAGCATGTGCAGCCTCACTGCCCCTGCCCCAGAGGTGCCCCCTTTTCCTCCCCCTGAAACATCAAATGGCCTGGAGCGGTGTCTGCTGCTTCTCCCTCCACCCAGAGTCCATCATGGGGCTGGTGTCTATGAACAAACATGTGAATGAACACGGCGAGATGTTCCTGGTGGGGCAGAGGCTGTCTCCAGCGCTGTATCGACATCTGACAGAGGTGTCTGAAACCCAGATTGATAAAGAACTGAGCCCCACTTTGGGTTTTTTAACTCTTCCCACGAGACCTTTAACTCCATTGGATCGATCTAGTCTTTCCTTTCCAGGGAAGGTTAGTTACGTATCTGTGCCCATGGAGCATCAGAGGTTATCAAAAATAGCTCTAGGGTCTTTTTGTTGTTTGTTTTCTTTTTTCACAAATAGTGCAAGGCCATTCCAGAAAGCGATGTGTGTTTTTGATACCCTTGAACAGAGAACTGTTTTCTCTGTGGATAGCAGGGTGTTTTAAACTCTTACTAACTAACCGTGAAATTGACACTGCAGGACACCTCTGTAAGCACTGCCAGGGACATAAAGCTTTCCAGAAGGTCTCTGTTCTCACAGTGTTTCCAGTGCCAGCCAGGAGAAAGAAATGGAATTTGTTATTTTTATTTTTATTTATTTTTTATTGAAGTATATATAGTCAGTTTACAATGTTGTGTCAATTTCTGGTATACAGCACAATGCTTCAGTCATACATGAATATACATATATTCGTTTTCATATTCTTTTTCACCGTAAGCTACTATAAGATATTGAATATATTTCCCTGTAGTATACAGTATAAGCTTTTAATGGTATTTTATATATACCAGTCAGTATCTGCAAATCCCAAACTCCCAATTAAAAAATGGAATTTGTGAATCTAAAATGGTGCTTGAGATCGCATTGGGAGAGTGATGTTTTAAGTTCATTGCCAAAAGATGAATATCAAAGCAGATTTGTAGCACAGCGCTGGGAAGATCTGGGTTCTGGGGAAGAGTGAGGCTGAGAAGGTTTCTGGCAGGTGCTCTGAGGGCGCAGACAAGGCAGCCTGGCCAGGCCCACACGTTGGGGTGACTGGGCTGAGCGCGGAGAGCCCAGAGGTGGTCATGCGCAGACAGGAGCTGGAAATAGGTCAGAGAAACAGAATCAAGGACCTGAGGGGAATGAGTGGAAGCTGGCCAAGGGTGCCTCTGGAGGGCTCTGTCCATTAAGACCTCAGGGTTTGGCGGCAGGGGAATAGCCATGCCATCTGCAGACCTAGTGATATGAAGGCTGGCTGGGGACACGGGATGGGAACTGTCATAGATATTCTATGTGTGTGTGCCAGTGGTGGGCCGTGGGGCTGGCTGTGTCCCAGGTGGTGAGAAAAGCAAGAATGGCCCTCAGGAAAGAAGCCAGCTTGGAAATCTGGGGGTGGGTTCTGCCCATTAATGGGAACAGTGTAGGGAGAAGGGTGAGGCTGAGACCCAGCTCCGAGGAGCAGCCGTCTCTGCTGGAGTCGGCGTGAGTGCCCTTGGCACAGTCCCAGAGGACCAGGTGATCCTGGGACCCCCTGTCCAGGCAGTGATGGGTGGAGAGGCATCTTGTGTGGCACTGGTGTCAGCACGGCCATGTTTCCCTGGAACATGTTTCCTCGCCGCTGTGTGAACGTGCCGGCCAAACAGCAGCTGCGTTCCCGTGGGACACCTGACTCAGCTGCTGGCCCGGACCGAGCAGCCAAGCAGTGGAAGGGCACGCCTCAGGCTTCCTCTCGGGCCCGTGGCCTCATGCCTTGGAGCACATAGAAGTTTGCGGGCCTTCCCCTGGAGGAGGTCAGGACCCCAGGGAGGGTGTGTTTGGGGGCCCTGAGCACACAGTGAGTCCCATGGACGGGCTAAGTCCTGACGGGGATGAGGAAGGGGGACAGTGACCCCTGAGGGCAGCTGCTCTCGGGGAAGAGGCTGACCTGTGTGGGTCCCCACAGGAAGAAGGGGCTCTGGTCATCGAGGGGCTCCTCAGCATCTCCTGGGGACTGAGGCGGCCCATCCGGCTGCAGATACAGGATGACAGAGAGCGAGTACACCTCTCCTCTACCTCCTGGATGCCCGGACAATCCAGCTGCCACCCGTGAGTGCCAGGCTGGGAGGGGCGGGGCCAGGTGGTCTCCAGGACACCTGTTCAACCCAAAAGTACTGTTCGGGGTGTTGGGGCGGGGGAAATTGATCTCAGCTTCAGGGGAAAGCCCCATTCTGGTTTGGGGCACAGGTCTGGGAGCATAACCCAGCCTCCTCCCTGTCACCCCCACGACTGCCTCAGACCACGACCTCACCCGCCAACCTGCAGCCTCACCCCCGATAGTCCTTCTTCATGACAACCAAGTCACCGCCCTCCTGGAGAAGGATCCAGGATCCCTTCACTTCCAGTTGTGTTTCTCAAACATTCCTTGTCTGTAAGAGAGAGCAGGCTGTAGGTGGGGAGCTCCCAACACCTTTTGCAAGCTCAGTATCGCAGCATCTCCTCTTCAATCTTTAAAAATACGTACACATTTAGCCTCCTACTGCTCTGCTTTTATTTCAATATCAGAACTTCGTTTTATAATTTTCTCAGAATTTACTATCAGATTTCTTTTAACATCAGAGGAATGTTTTGATCAGGACAAAATGATTTTCCACAGGTCTTGCCGTTTAATGGACGT